TAGGCTGTTTAAAGTACTACACGTAACTGGTGCTGGAATCACAGACTACTTGCCCTTCCATGCCTGCCTTCTTTTCATTTAGCATGGTGTTTTCAAGGTTTATCCTGTCTGCTACATGGAGATTTTTATTAAGATTTGCTGTTATTTGTGTGTGACATACGTGCACATCCATGAAAGCCAGAAGAGGACCTTGGATCCTCTGGAGCTGGAGTTATTAGTGGTAATGAGCTGCCCTGTGTGGGTGCTGGGAATAGAACTCAGTCCTGTAAGAGTAGCCAGTGCTCTAAACACTGAGCCGTCTCTCCAGCTCCTAGCACACTGAGTTTTAAGGATGGCTTGATTCTGAATCACAAGGTCCTCTCTTTGGTGCAGACTTCTGCTTGCTTTCCAATTATAGAAAGCCGTCCCTGCCTTAATCTCCGCTGTCGGGTTTCCTGCAGCAAACTTTCAAATATAAAATGTGGCCCAAGGAAAGTAACTGGAAATGTGGTGTCATTGCCTTATGTCATGTCACTCTAAATTAGCTTCAACAGTAAAAAATGAAATTCGGATTCATTTCTCCCAACAGAATTTTCATATGCTATGTTCCTTGCATCTCTAAAAAGCTAGGAACTCCTTGAGATGGTTTTCTCCCCCAGGGGATTGCCTAAGGAATTTGAGGAATCTCTCTCTTCTGGAAGAATTTGTTCATGCTTAGAATAGAGAGAAAAAAACTTCGGAAGATAGCCAGAAAATGCAGAAAACATTGAAGCTGTTTGTTCTAACTTGACTAAAGAACCCCATTTTGGAGTCATAAACTAGCCCTTGCCAACTTGCCCTTCTAGAAGGATGCGCCAGTTAAGGCCGCCAGCTCTTTGTTTCCCACTGTGACACCTCCATCACAGGGGCTGCCTCCTCCCTCCCCAGGATCTCCACCGCCTGAAAACCCACAGGAGAGAAAGCAGGGGTAAGAGGAGGCACAAGAATGGTGACTGGAAATGTGACTGAAAACAAAACCAGAGAACAGAAGGAAGTAAGAGCGGGCTCCTTAGCGGGACCCGGTGTGGAGAAAATCTGGGGTAGGCAAAATAGCTGATAGTTTCAAGACCCTGGGCGTTTTGTCTTTCTCTCTCCTTCCTTCCTTCCTTCCTTCCTTCCTTCCTTCCTTCCTTCCTTCCTTCCTTCCTTCCTTCCTCCCTCCCTCCCTCCCTCCCCCCTCTCTTTCTTTCTTTCTTTCTTTCTCTTTTTATTTCTTTGCCTCTTGAGACAGTTTCTCTGTGTGGCCCTAGCTGTCCTGGAACTCACTATGCAAACCAGACTGGCCTCAAACTCAAAGATCTGCCTGACTCCCCTTCCCAAGTGCTGAAGTAAAAGGCTTTTAAGAACATGGGCTTTAAAGACCCATGTTCTTAAGTCAAAAAAGCAAATGAAAGCAAACGAAGATCTGAAAAATAAACCGCATAACAGGATGACGGACTGGATTGTTTCAAAGCAACTGTTATACCCAGAAATGTTTAAAATGCTTTAAAACGTTTAGCTCAAACCCATTGAGTATGATAGTCATGGAAGTATTTAAGCCTTAGCCTCTGTTTTAAAATAAGCATTAGATAAAATAATTAAATATTTATTCAAGTATCAATAGTACCTAATGGATCTTCCAGGTACTGAAACATAATTGATTCAGGACTTTTGCTGTCTTGTGCTTGTAAAGCATGTATAAAAGCATGCTTGTGTATATACATATTGTATACATATGTATATAGTTGTATCTATAATATGTACATGAGCATCCTTAGACTCTAGGTTTTTTAGGTAAAGGTTTCAAGCTACCTTGACTTGCAAATGGAGAATTTTTTTTTAATTATGTATACAGCCTTCTGCCTGCAGGCCGGCAGAGGGTGCCAGATCTCATTCAAGGTGGTTGTGAGCCACCATGTGGTTGCTGGGAATTGAACTCAGGACCTCTGGAAGAACAGTCAGTGCTCTTAACCGTGAGCCATCTCTCCAGGCCCTGCAAATGGAGAATTTTAAACACCAGCATTTTATCTCTTTAACACTAAAACCCTGTGGTATTTTGAAGTGCTTACATAATGGTTACAAATGTTCTAGGTCTTGCCAAAGTACACTTTATGTAACTTTGTACAGCACCCTTGTATAGGATACTATGAAATTGTCTAACAAAAAGACTTCTTTCTTGACTTCCCACAGTCACAAGTATAAAAACAATGCTGATAGAAGTGGATCAGTGGTGTGAGCTAACATTTGAGAGGTCCAGGTTTGACTCCCAGCACCATAGGAAGAAAAAGAGTCACTTCGTTTTAGGCAGTGAAAGCTTTCTTGGGAGGATGGGGAAAAATAGGTGAACTGTAGGTTTACACCTAGAAATAACTATATTGGGTTATTTTGTTGTGGTGGTGTTAGATTTTGGGGGAGGAGTTGAGAGTTGTTTGTGTTTGTGGGTTTTTCCTCAACTCCCACTCCCCCAGAAGCCCTCAGCATGTCCCTCCCATGCAGCCTGCAGGTCCTGTGCAGGTAGCCACAGCTGCCGGAGTGTCTGCGTACAGCTGCCATTTCATGTCCAGGAGACAGCACTTGTCCTCATCCCCCAGCTCCTCCTCAATGTCTCCTGAGCCTTAGGGCGAGGCGGAGTTTGATATAGCTGTCCCATGAAGGATGGACATGTGAGAGCCATGTGGTGACACTAGACAGCTATGCTTCTGTAGCCCCACCCCCACCTGACCAGTACTAGCAATGGCTTTAACTAAGCTATGGTCCCCGTATGTGTATTCTCCTCTGTGTGCTGCTCTTTTGTGTCTGTTGTCTCAAAAGACAAGAAACAAAGAGAATATGAATAAATCTTTCTGTTTTCATTTTTATTTTGAGACAGGGCCTTACTCTCCTAGGCTGGCATGGAACTCGTTATATAGCTCTGGCTAGACTTGAACTTGCAGTCATTCTCCAGTCTCAGCCTCCTTAGTGCTGGAATCACAGGCACGTGTCACCACACCCACTCAAGAACATGGATATTTAAACACAAATTCATGAGAAGCCTTAAAGTGACAATAATTCTAAAAACCCACTCCAGGGTATTCTTCGCCAGATGCACAGGCCTCATTTGCCTGATCAAAATGTGTGATCCCATTTAAAATATCTCTGTACAGCAAAAACTGATTTAGAAAAATTATTCTGATTTTTTTTAATCAGAATAAAAATAACCTGTTTCTGGAGGGGTGAAGAGAAAAATAGCCTGCTGAGCTCAGTCTAATCTATGTTCCTACAGAATTGTAAGAGTAATCCAGTATATTAAGCCCAAACAAAGGAACAGGCCATAAAAATAGCTTTTGTTTATTTAAAATCAGATACAGTTACATTGCGATCTTTCTCTTAACACATCTCCTATCCTCAGACAAAACACAAGAGTGAGTTTTAAATTTAATTGTCAAGAAATATGCTTTCCCCTACACAATCATTAAAAAGCAGATTAAACAGAGTATGTCTAGAGTCTACAGAAAAAGTGAAGACTTAAGTATGAATAATATTTAAGACTGTAATTCAAATGAATCTTGTAATACATATTTAATACTATGAACATTTATAATAAAATGTTTTACTTAAAATGCCTTCCTTATTATATCACACAAGAATGGCAGAATAAATAGGGGAGGGGCTGAAGAAATGCTCAGAGGTTAAGGGTGTGTACTGCTCTTCCAGAGGGCCTGGGTTCCATTCCCAGCACCCACATGGCAGCTCACAACTGTGTGTAACTCCATCCCAGGGGACCTAATGTACCATCTTTTGCCTCCATGGGCACGCCACACGTTTGGTATACATGCATACATGCAGGTACTCACGCATACACATTAAAAAGTCTTTAAAAAGTAAAAACTTACAGAGCAAATGTCAGTGCGTGAAGGAAAACTGCAAACAAGAAGGTTTGCTTCATTTTTAACCCTCTAAGAGCCAAATGTTTGGGAGAGTGAATCAGCCATGTTTAGGAACATGCTTCTAGGAGGAGTCAAAAGTAAGCTAGCTATATAATTGTAGAGTCACTGAGGAGCCCAGCACCGATGACTCTTGGCTCCTTTATGGTTTATTTTAAGATTTGCCACATCATCAGCCTCTTAATATAGAGGATGAGGCCATGGGTTAGCACATCAGAGAGTCGGAATCAAATGCTGACTGTGCAGACATTTTAGGAGCACCTAAAGACAGTTTATTTCATTTAATGGCCTAAATCTTTGCATGTACAAGTATGGTATATTAGAAAGTAATCTATGCTTAATTAAATTTGTAACTACCCTTCCAGTAAGGAGAAACTAAAATTTGACCATATCATAATAGGATTTGCTAAGCATGAGTCTGTACGTGTGTGTGTGTGTGTGTGTGTGTGTGTGTGTGTGTAAGAGAGACAGAGACAGAGAGAGGGGGAAGATAGGGAGGGAGGGAGGGAGGGAGGGAGAGAGGAAGGGAGGGAGGGAGGGAGGGAGGGAGGGAGAGAGGAAGGGAGGGAGGGAGGGAGGGAGACAATGTGAGGGTTGCACTGTTTTCTCCTTCTGCTTAAGCCTCCCAAAGACTAAGAGTATAGGTATGCATCAGCATAACCTGGGTTGCAGTCTTCAAAAGCATGTTTAAGGTTTTAATTGACACAGAGTAATTGTATGTAGTTATGAAACAACATGCTTTTCTCTCTTAATGACACATATACTAGCATCTTATGCTGATAGCATCTTAGGTTTAATGGTCTAAATTGGGGATTCGGGGCTTTCCCACCCCACAGAACGGGGAGCTGGCTGGTGAGCTTGGGTGACTTAAGGTTTCTAACTAGAGCCTGCTTCTGACTGTTGCTTGCCTTTGACAAGATCTCTTTATTTTTATCCACTTAGGAACTTTCCTGACTCTGGGTTTTCAGAAACACGTGGCCCCTATTTAACAGTATCCCAAGTATTTCTCAGAAGGAGACATTGTAGATGTTAGGTTTTATATGCACGGCCTCCTTGTAAATATCTCGTTTCCTTTGCTAGGGGCGCAGGCTGCATCTTTATTGAAATGTTCCAGGGTCAACCTTTGTTTCCTGGGGTTTCCAACATCCTGGAACAGCTGGAGAAGATCTGGGAGGTAAGACAAAAATTCCTCATAAGAAAAAAAGAAATACCTCCATTACAGACTTGGAGCCAAATTTGCCTTAGAAGCGAATGAAGTGGTCCATCTGCTCAGTTACTGAACTGTACTTAGGGCGATAGAAGCTATGGCGTTTGCCACAGAAATGAGTTCCTTCGGGATGAGGGCTTTGGAAACCCCTGCTGCCCCATGCCAGCCTACAAGTCACCCCACTGAAGACATCTGGGTCTCCTGCTTCCTAGTAGTAGTAGTATTTTCTCCGTTCCCAGCAGCGTTTTCTGCCAGTACTACTTGGTCATCCCTGCGCTGTTAGCCTTCACTTTAATTCTATCGTAGACCTGGCCTGAATCTTCACCAACAGAGATAGGACACCAAATTTTCCTAGAACCTCATGAAACGCACTTCCCATGTCAGTGTAAGGGAAGCGAGGGTTTGTCGTGCTCCTGCACCTGAGCATGACGCCTAAGGTGCACATATGTGTATGAATGTGTGTGCGCGTGCATGTGTGTATGAATGTGTGCATGCATGCATGTCTATATAAATGTGTGTGCATGAGTGTATGTATGTGCATGAATGTGTGTGCATGAGTGTATGTATGTGTATGAATGTGTGTGCGTGTGTGTGTATGAATGTATGCATGCATGGGTGTCTATATGAATGTGTGTGCACATGTGTATGTATGTGCATGCTTCCATTTCTTTCCTTATTATTGTTTCTACTTCATTTGCATTTCAATTTGCTTTACTTTTCTTTGCTCTTGCTTTTTAGTCAGTGATATAGCCATACTTTCTATTTACTCCTGTTTTTCTTTTTATGATTTTTCCTATTTGGGTAAAGTACACCTAAAATTTGCCAGGTTGATCAATGTGTACCAAGTTACCAACAGGTTTGATAAATCAAGTCTGGTCATCTTTTGCCTAATAGATTACAGGTAATCATGATGTTGTATATATATTTTTAAATGAAAGAATGGATATTTTTTTAATCACAAGGAAATAGTCAATGTTATCCAAGCAGTGATGGTTCACTCCTTTAATCCCAGCACTTGGGAGGCAGAGGCAGGTGGATCTCTGAGTTCAAGACCAGCCTGGTCTACAGAACGAGTTCCAGGACAGCTAGAGCTACACAGAGAACTCCTGCCTCAAAAAACAAAAACAAAAAAAGCAGACAAAGAACAACAAAAGAAATGCCCAGTGTTTGAGAAGTTAGATGAATGTACCCTGATGCTCACATTGCACAGTTCACAGATGCTAAACATCACATGGGACTGCAAGTCAGTTCCCTGGGTAAGGGCAGTTGTTGCCAAGCCAGAGAAGCCAAAATTCATCTCCAGCTCACACCATGGAAGGAGAAATTCCCACAAATTTTCCTCTGATTTCCACACAGGTGCCACCCCAACACACACAATATAAAAACAGCACCCAATAAACACTAGGGGACAACAAAAGTGAACTGAGATGGGAAATGTTACCATTTTAGCAATTCAGTGTACAGTTCACTACAGTCAGGTCATTGATGCTGCTGGGCCAGCATCTCTGCGATCATCTCTGGCACCTTCAAATCACCCCAAGCCAAGGCTTTGCAGTCATAAGCACACACCCATCCCATCCTGAGAATCTCTCATCTACTTTCTGTCTCTATTGATTTGTGAATAACACATCACTGAAGTCATAGAGCATTGGTCTTTCTGGGTCTGGCTTATTTCACTTGGCATAATGTCTTCGAGGTTCATTCATATTGTATGTGCATCAAAGCACTTTACGCTGGGTTTGTCAGTTGCTATGCTTGATCTAGCTCCTTGTCTTCTGATGAAGATAAAAATGTGCTGTGAGACACAATGCAATGTATATAAATTAATCACTAACATTAAACTTCAGTTTGGCCACCTGGAGGATATTATGGGAAACATGGGACAAATAGGGAGCATTCATTCACAAACAATTTTTTTCAAGCTCTCTCTCCCTCCCCCCTCCTCTCTCTCATTGTTATTTGTTTTGCTTTTTTTTGAGACAGAGTTTCTCTATGTAGCCCTCGCTGTCCTGGAACTTGTTCTGTAGTCCAGGCTGGCCTTGAACTCACAGAGATCCACCTGCCTCTGCCTCCAAAGTGCTGGGATTAAAGGTGTGCCACCACCACCAGCCAAAAGACTTTTTAGGAAGAGAGATAAATGCTGCTTTGGATCATATCGTTGGATACTATAACATCATCTAAGCTTGAAGTAGTTACTGCAAGGATTTCCTTGCCATCTTCTAGTTATGATTATGGACAGAGTTCACATAGCACCTCTTAAGCTTTAGTTTTCTTATCTATAAAATGAGGTTAATCATAAGATTCTGTAACCTTGTTAAGGGAATTATGTAAGATGAAATGTATAGCAAAACCAGCACACTGTAAGTGCTTGGTAAATATTTATAGGGCTGAAGAGAAGGCTCAGCAGGTAAAGGCTCCTGCTGCCAAGCCTGACAGCCTGAATTCAATCCCTGGAACCTACATGGCAGAAAGAGAAAACTGACTCCTACGGGTTGTCCCCTTCCCTCCCTCCCTCCCCTCTCTCCCTCCCTTCCTCCCTCCCTCTCTTTTCTGTCTCCCTCCCTCCCTCCCTCCCTCCCCTCCCTCCCTCTCTCTCTGTCTCTCTTTCTCTCACACACACACATGGAGAGGGGGGAGAAATATTTTTTAATTTCTTTCTTTAAAAACCAAAAACTGTCTTGTGCTCTCCTATAATTCCAGTACTTGGAAGGCTGAGGTAGGAAGAATTCTGTGAGTTTGAGATTAACCTGGGTTGTATAGCAAGTACCAGCTCATCCAGCAAGACCGTGTGTGTGTGTGTGTGTGTGTGTGTGTGTGTGTGTGTGTGTGTCTGTGTGTGTGTGTGTGTGTCTGTGTGTGTGTGTGTCTGTGTGTGTGCCTGTGTCTGTGTGTCTGTGTGCCTGTGTCTGTGTGCACGTGTGCGTGTGTGAATATATACTGCTTTCTCTTTTCAAACGCTGCTATAGAGATGTTTCAGTCACTCGGCTGCCATTGTTGCTCTCCTTCGCTTCAGCGCTGTTAGTCCTGCCCATAACCAAGAAAGAGCACTTAGTCTTCACCCTGCAACGGCCCTTTACACATTTGAAGGCTTATTTTTAACCTAGTTACTTAATATTTATTGGACATTAACCATATATAAATATTCTTTAGAGACTAAGAGAAGCAATAAGTGACAGAGAAAAAGGGAATATGAAAAAATGTGTTTTTCACTCAGAATGGAGTGATGAATGACGTCTCAGGAAAACATACGTGAACAAACGTGAACTGAGTGTACTGTAAAAGGATGTATGTGAAGACAGCTAATATAAACTGTAGTGCCGAAGTGAGGCATGCTGGTAGAATGTTTGAAACATAGCATATTTGAAAATAATGTAAGTATATCCACAGGTGCTATTACTGTTTGAAGAACTGTATATAAATCGAGTTTTTAAAAAAACATTTGGTGCTATTTAAACAACCACACACTTCAAAAATAATCACTTTGTGACTCTTTGCATTTAGCACAGTGCTCAGAAATCAGAACAAGAGTGAACTAGATGTTTCCCTGGCATTCTAGTTCTTGGTCCTTGGTGGCAGCCACTGTCATGTGAAGGATATTTCTGTAATGCCATCAGTGGAAGATACTCTGCTTCAGTCAGGACATAAGGCACCAAAAACTGACTGCTGCAGCCAAAGCAAGTGTGTCTTAAAGAACCCGCCCAACATATTCTGCCTGGAAAACCAGAGCCATGCCTACCTTCATCTTCAGCACACTAAAGACAACCAGAGACTTTATTTTGATATATTTTACAACTTGTTACAAATTTAAACCAAATAAGCCTATCAAAACCAAAACTGGCCTGGAGTCAGATCTCATGAGTTCTGAGCACAGCTCTAGCCTTGGGTATAATGGCGAATACGTCTACATCTAAACTCTGAGTCTTACTGTCTTACAGTGTGCTGTTCTGTGCTCTGACTCCTGCAAACAAAATTCAAAGAGAACATCGTAGCCTCTGTCATCATCATCATCATCATTTTTATTAATTATTGTTGTTGTTGTTATTTTGGTTTTCTGAGACAGGGTTTCTCTGTGGGTAGCCCAGCCTGTCTTGGAATTGCTCTGCAAACCAGGATAGCCTCAAACTCACAGAGATCCTCCTGCCTCTTCCTCCCCAGTTCTGGGATTAAAGGCATGTGTTACCACTGCCAGGCATTCCTATCATTTTTTAAAAATTTTGGTGTGTGTGTGTGTGTGTGTGTGTGTGTGTGTGTGCCTGTGGAGGCCAGATGACAGGGAGTTAGATGAAATTGTGAACTTCCTGGTGTTGATGCTAGCAACAAGTGCTCTTAACCTCTGAGTCCCAGTTCCTATAGTTTTAAGTCATAACATTCTCCTCTGTTCATTGGGTTTCCCCTTTAAATTAGTTATTTCTGGAGTCTCCATGGCTGCATAGCTCACTGTTGACTTTGATCAGTTCTGTATTGTTTAGCTATGTGTTGTGGCCAGATTCATTTAATTTAAGCAGATCACTTATTGTATCTATAGTTCCGTATTCTGAGAGAAACTAGATAAAGTTGCTACATTGGGTGACTTTGTGGTGTTTTGTTGTTGCTTTGTTTTAGGGTTTTTTTAACATGTATTTTTGGGTAGGGGAGGGTACACTACCATGGCATGCATGGTAATCAGAGGACAACTTGAGGGAGTCAGCTGTCTCCTTCTACCATGTGGGTTCCCAGGGACCAGACTCAGGTCATCAAACTTGGTGACAAGCTCCTTTACCTGCCCAGTCATCTCCAGAGCACAACTTAGTTGCTTTTTAACAGCACTACCTCTCGAGCAGTTGAGGTTTTCTTCTTTTCTTTAGAGAGATATGTAATAAATGGTAAATGCAAAATAACAGTAATAATTGTATCTCAGTTTGGTCTCCTTGTGCAAAATATGGTTATAACAGGTATGTATTTAGGGCAAGAAGAAAGTCTTTTGAGGGTATGAGGACAGAACAGATATGAAAGGACTGTATAACTTTGAGTTCAAGTGCTTTATCTTTTAAACTACTGTATTTATTTACTTACTGTGTTTGTGTGTGATTTCATGCGTGTGGGTGTTGGTGTGTGCCACAGCAGGTGTATTGAGATCAGAGGAAAGTTTGTAGGAATCCATTCTCAGCTTCCTTGATGTTTGGCCCCAGGCATCGAACTCAGGTCATCAGATCCCTACAGCTTCCCAAATGCTAGGCAAGCTCTCTACCACTGAGTCACTCCTTAGCCCCAATATGATGTTTTGTACATGCATTATAGACTGGCCAAACCGAGCCATTTAACATATGCATCATCTTACACATGTACTTTTTTTTGTCATGAAGGTATTCCATGGTGTATATGTGTTATACTCCTGCTGCAGTAAATACAAGCCATCTCTTTGACATGCTAATTTCTTTTTTCCCCAAATACATATGCAGGAGGGTGGATTAGATAGCAGCTTTTTGAGGAGTCTCTGTCAATTTCCATCATGGTTATACTAATTGATATTCTCACCAACAAAGAGCCAAGGTTACCATTTCTCCACACTCTAACCAACACCCTTCTGTCATTGGTGGGAGCAGGGTGTTGAGATAAGGTGTCATGTACCCGGTCTTGAACTCCTGATCCTCCCAAGTGCTGGGACTACATGCGTATGCCACCATCCTTAGTTTGTGAAGGAAGGGGATTGAGTACAGAGTCTCATGCACTCTGCTAACCGAGTCCTCAGTCCTTATTGGTCTTTTTATTTTTTCAATGGCCATTCCAATAGACACATGGTGATATTTTTATGGTTCTAACCATAGGTTTTTTGTTGTTGTTGTTGTTTTGCTGTTATTAATCCTGTAGTATTACAGTTTTTCACATTTTTTATTTAAATTAGAAACCAACTTGTTTTACATGTCAATCCCAGTTCCCTCTCCCTCCCCTCTGCCCCTGCCCCCCACTAGTCCCCTATCCCATCCCCTTTCTGCTCCCCAGGGAGGGTGAGGGTGAGGCCTTCAATGGGGGATCTTCAAAGTCTGTCATATCATTTGGGTCAGGGTCTAGGCGCTCCCCTGTTTGTCTAGACTGGGAGAGTATCCCTCTATGTGGAATGGGCTCCCAAGGTCCATTCTTTTTCTAGGGATAAATACTGATGTACTACCAGAGGCCCCATAGATTGCTGAGGCCTCCTCACTGACACCCATATTCAGGGGATCTGGATCAGTCCTATGCTGGTTTCCCAGCTATCAGTCCGGGGTCCATGAGCTCCCCCTTGTTCAGGTCAGCTGTTTCTGTGGATTTCTCTAGTCTGGTCTTGACCCTTTTGCTCATCACTCCTCCCTCTCTGATACTGGATTCCAGGAGTTCAGTTCAGTGTTTAGTTGTGGGTGTCTGCTTCTGCTTCCATCAGCTACTGGATGAAGGCTCTAGGATGGCATATTAGGTAGTCATCAATCTCATTATTGGGGAAGGGCATTTAAGGTAGCCTCTCCACTATTGCTTAGATTGTTAGTTGGTGTCATCCTTGTAGATCTCTGTGAATTTCGCTAGTGCCAGAGTTCTCTTTAAACCTATAATGGCTCCTCTATTATGGTATCTCTTACCTTGCTCTCTTCTATTCTTCCCCCGACTCAACCTTCCTGCTCTAACCATAGTTATTGCTGTCTTAACTTGCATTTCTCTGACGATTAATAATGTTGAACATTTTTATGCCTTTTGCCCATTTGTGTGTCTTCCTTTGAGAACTGTCTATTGGAGTTTTTTTAACCCATTTTTTAAATTAGGTGATTTGTTTACTTGCTATTGAGTTCTTTGAGTTCCTTGTACATATTAGATATCAACCCCTAGCCAAATATATAGTTTACAAATGTTTTCTACCATTCTGTAGATTTTCTCCATTCGATTGTCTCTTTTTCTAGAAGCTTTTAGTTTTATGTAGTCCTATTCATCTATTTTTGCTTTCATTTCCTATGAAATAAGTTAGAAAATCAAACCGATTGCAAAGTTTCTGGAGTTGTATCTTGCTAAATGAATTTTCACCAAATAAATAATCAAAATTTTGTTTAAACTTCTAACATCTCAGTTTGATAAAATTTTCCAGAAAGTTTGGTATCCATCTGGCCTCAGTCAAATATAATACGACATAACCAAGGAGTCTGGTAACTTTCACCTTCCAGCAAATATGGATGTGGTTGCTATTCATTTCCTGTATTGTTTCCTCCTCCCTGACTTTGTTTTCTTTCCATTGTGCTTTGCCAACCAACAGAAGATGAATGGGTACCCATGAGTCACACCCTCTTGTCTCCACATGCATCTGTACAAATACAGATGACAGGAGGCTGAGAAAGAAGAATGAGTTTCCCCTCCTCTGGGCTTCACCCACAAAAGAAGAATCAGTCTAGTTGGTTTTTCAAAATGGAATCCAGGATCCTCAGCATTCCCTCAGGCTTGGGTTGGTTGATACGAAGAGCCTATAATCCTCTCAGTCACTTTTCAGTTTGTTTAGAGAATGGATCAAAGCTGGAAGCTTTTACTGGGTGGCATGACTTTTCAAAATATACCATGTGAGGGAAAAATAGCACTTTAGTGCCCTTTGTATGAAGGCAAGCCAAATAGACCCCACATGCACACCTCTCCACCAGGGACCTAGTCACCACACCGATGGAGTGAAGGTCCTGAATTCCTCATTAATTATATTCAACCAGACAATTAGCTTCCTGTCGCTAAAAACTGGGCCAGTGTCTACAGTCCGAGCATCACAGAAGCGTAATATTGAGATACACTACAAAGAAGGCTTACACTGAAGTAACTCAAAGCAAACTGCTAGCGTGCCACCAGCATGTCACAAAGGCCCTGCTCCTCAGACTCTCACACACACCGACTACGGGATTTACGGGCATCTTCAAAGAATGGGAAGATGGTGTCTAGCGAGGACTGCAGTATCAGCTCCATCCAAATCCTGTTTGGCTTCATACTCCAGAAGACCTTCACTTTCAACACTTCGTCTTCAGTAAAAGCAAGAACTTAAATGTGGACACCTTAAGCACAGGTCAGGGCTGGCAAGATGGTTCAGGGGGTAAGGCTTGCTACATAAGCCTAGAGACCTGAATTTGATGCCCAGAACCCACATGAAAACGGAAGGAGAGAACCAGCTCCACACAGTCGTTCTCCCCGCCGCCCATACATGTGTCTTAACATGGGGCGGGGGAGGGGATTTTTTAATGTAAAAGTTTTTAACAGCATATTCCAGCTCTTTCTCACATGATGTTACCATTATAATCTACCCGTGGGAAACCAAATTATATTGTAAACTGCTGGACATGGAGAGAGCGAGGAAATGAGATGAATTTGGTAGAAAAGGCAATGGTTGGAGCGGCCTCATTTTTAGCCACTATCCCACCACCTAAAGGTCAGTAATTTGAATCCTTTTAAATTCGAGCACATCCAGAAACAGCTGAGCACCTATGCCGAGGCGCAATCCAGGCCTGCAGCCTCTCCTGCCAATCAGCTCATAGGACTGTGATGGGAAGTGAGGGAAGTGAGGGACAGTCACTCCTGCTGCTTCACACCCTGACGATCGTGCAGATGGCTCAGTGCAGACACACTCTCGGGACTGTGGGGGTGTGGTGCTCTGCACAATAAACTAAACAATGTTGGAACTTCCGCCAGTTCTTCCTCCTGGACATCAGCGGCTTCCATGTGACGTCACCGAATTCTTCATTGCTCCCTGCTGCGTCCTTTGTGTCTCTGTGCCTGCTCCAGCTGGCTTCTTCTTACCCTCCTTTCTCTTTCTGTGGCTCTGTGTAGGTACTAGGAGTCCCTACAGAGGACACCTGGCCTGGAGTCTCCAAGCTGCCTAACTACAATCCAGGTAATAACTGAGCTAAGCATACTATGTTCTGAGAACCAGAAATGCCAGGAGAGTATTGGCCACACGGGGTGTCCATCTGGCATTAGACCCAACAAAGACTGCTAGATTTGTATATTTTCCAACGACGTCTTTTATTTGTGTCTATTCATTTATTTAGAACAGGGTCTCACTGGATAGCCCTAGTTGACTTGGAACTTCCTATGTCGATCAGGCTAGCCTCTATGTCCCAGGTGCTGGAATTCCAGGCTTATACCACCATGCCCAGCTTACTCCTTTTATTAAGAAGATAGTGAGGTTAAATCGGTACTCCAGTGATATAAAGCCCAGGTAGCAGGGTGAAAATAATTAGAAAGGACTGTTGCCATGGTTGTCCTCATCCAATTCCAAATACACCACAGCTCAAAGGGACAGCACACTTTGAATCGCATGAGCAAGGAATTGTTCTCCCTGTTGAGCCCATGACCATCACTGAGGTTATTTGCCACATGGTTGAGCCTCGTACAAAAGGAAAGCTAAAGCAACAGAAGGAGCTAGAGCATGCTAGACCTTGGATAAGCCAGGTAAGATACCTCCAGAGAACTGTCTCCCTGCCTGACAAATGGTCATTTCTGCCATGCGTGGTCCTTCACAAGTAGCTTCTGGGGATAAAGAAGCATTAGAAGTATTGTCCACAGGGAGATTCTTTGAGACGTGGTCAGATAACCAAGAAGTCACTTCGCGGCATTGAGAGAGAAGTGAGGAGACAGCCAATGAGTTAGATGAAGACTGCTGTCTCAAAAGCCCTGGGAGCCAGAGAAGTGAGCAAAGGCCGCAGTGATGCTAACCCCTCCCTGGCAGGGGTAAGAGGAGGTGCACAGGTAAGGACACGGCTGGGATGAAAGTGTTCCAAGACAGACCACATGGTCTTCATTTTCTTACCTTGTCCATTACTAGACCCCTATTTCCCCAGACTGTCATTGTAGACTTTGGTGTGAGGTTTTCCTGGAAGAGTTTCATGAGAGCAAGAAATTGCTGGGAGACTTCAAAAGTGATTAAAGGAAGAAAACAAAAATCAGGGTGTGGTGGTATCAGCCCATAATCCCAGCACTTGGAAAGCTAAAGCATGAGAAACTTAAGACTAAAAGGCCAACTGGGTGTGTGTGTGTGAGAGAGAGAGAGAGAGAGAGAGAGAGAGAGAGAGAGAGAGAGAGAAAGAGAGAGAGAGAGAGAGACGGAGAGACGGAGAGAGAGAGAGAAGAGGAATAGATAAAGAGAGGTTTTCTTTCTTTTTATCCTGTATCTATTACTTTTACTCAAAAAACTATCCATAGCCATCAGTCCTTTTGAATTAATCAGAGCTAATGAAATTCCATGGAATGCTAACGACTAACTGTAAAATCCTTTCAAGTCCTTTCAACCTCTTTGTGAACAATCATATTCCTTACTTAATGGCCTTGGAGTCATTTAGAACTGTTTCACTATGTCTAATTATTTTTCAAGAGTTTGACACTCTGGTCTTGAGGTGTAGGACAGTGGCTTCCCTTTGGGGTGAGGTGGAGACAGAAAAGAAAAGGGTGTTTATGGAGTTGATGATTCTATCTGCATTAGCTCCTGGCGCCAGTTGCCATGGTTTCCGGGAAATCTAGTTCTCATCATTTCCCATCTAGCCTGTACTCCCTCCCTGTGCATTCCTCTTTGCCTGGGTGAAAATGGACCGACTTACCTGCCTCAGCACCCTAACACAGATACTGGCAGAAGCTGAGAATCAGAAAGCATTTAGGTATACATGCATACAAAATGCCGTCGTGAGCATAGGCAGCAACTCCAAACTTCAAATACTTGTTTAGGTTTCAGGTTGGTCCAAGCAATAGCGAGAGAGACATCCCTCTAACAAGTGGTCATCAAAGCTAGGAACATGGCCAGGCTCTTCTTGCCAAATGCCATGCTAAGAAGCTAACTGAATTCTGAGAAAACAGAGAGAAATATGTCATATTGCTCATTTTGCCACCATGTCAAAGTAATGTGCAATTTTATTTACAAAATTATCCAGTCCCAATATCAACAGGGCTTATAGGTTTGCATTATTGTTTATGTTGGTTTAATCAGAGAAGTAAAGCTGTTTTGAGAACTTGCAATCTGCTGGTCCCTGAGTAGTTGGGGTGTGCTCTTGAGACTGCAGATCCTGGGTGTGGATTCTCACTGTTACTGCAGTGCTTCTTATGGAGGACTTTTTCTATGGCTCTGGGAAGCCTGTGGTTGTGGATCCGGCTGAGCACAGGGAAGGGAGTTGTACCCTGAACCACAGCTGGGATTTCCAATCCCACCTTTGCAAATCTTAAGAGTCTAGAGTACCTTAGGCATGGGGTTGACACTATATTAGTAACTCAATCAAAAAGGACCGTGTTTTAAAGGGATCACCAAGATACCTGTCCCAGGAGCAAGTCTTATGAATAAACAAGTCTGTCTTGAGGCATACCCTTCTACCCCCATTCCTAACCTGCTGCTGCTTCCTCTGAGTTGAGATGCAATAATTTGTGAAGCACTGAGGAGGAGGTGGGTGCCAGAACATTGTGAGTTGCCCCTTCTATCCAACTGCACCCCTGTTCCTATTAACCCTTCCCTCTCCATCCTCCCCTGCCCTGCCTGCAACCCAGACTCTGGTTATCTGGCACTCTACTCTCTCCTTCCTGTGAAATCAACATTTACCTTTTGTATAGAAGTGAGAAAACAGATTTGTCTTCTTGTCAGCTTAGTTCAGTTAGCATAGTGTCCTCCAGTTTCATCCATGTTACTAGAAACGACGGAATCCTATTGTTTTTGTGGACACATAGTATTCTGTTACATGGGTACAAACATTTCCTGCTTCCATATTTATTTCAATTACCGCCTACCTTGGTCTATGCTAGCATAAACAGTGCTGCAGTGTATAACTGTGTACATGACATACTGGTTTCAGTTCCTTTGGATATATGCCCAGAAGTGAGACTGCAGGATCATAGGGTTTTTATTCCAGGTTTTCTTTTAAATAAACAACTGCTCTGTTTTCCATATTGGCTGTACTCATGTATGTTCCTACCAGTAGTGAGGACAGTGAGCGTTTCTCCTTTTCCATATCCTTATCAGCATTTATCATCACCACCACCATTTTCTTCGTGCGTATGTGTATTGTTTGTGTTGCTTTTTTAGTTTTTGAGAACAGGATCTTGTTACGTAGCTCTGGCTGATTTGGAATTCACTCCATAGCCTACGCCGACCTCATACTTACAGTGACCCTTCTACCTCTGTCTCCCAACTGGCATGTGCCACCACACCCAGTTACTTTTTGTCTTGTCGATAATGTCTGTTCTAACTGACACTGGATGCAAACTCTTGGTTTTGATGCTCATTTCTGAGGATTACTGGTGACTGTTTTTCATGTGCTCCTTGGCCGTTCACATGTCTCTCTTTTTTTTTTTTTTTGAGACATATTCATTCTAGTTATTTGCCCATATAGAAAACCGTGTGCTACTGAGTTAAATTCCTGATATACTCTTTACCCAGTGCAACCAAAGGTGCTTGGCAGCTCTGAACTTGGGTGAACACTCGCTGTCATTGCTAGGCCTTATCTGGACTCTGTCTTGAGTAACCATGCTGACTCTGATGGGGGTGTTAAAAATCACCCAGTGCTGATTCCAGTGAGTACCAGCTTTCTCCCAGTTCTGGTGAGCAGGGCTTTAGGCCAAGGCGGGTTGTAGCCACTTGTACCTGATTAAACCTGCAAGGGGAGATGGGTGTATCATGTTCGAGACTGCCTCCTTCCTTCCTGTCCTTCCCCACTCCCCGCTTAAGCAAGCTGGGCTGAGAACTCTTAGTCCTCCACTTCAAAGAGCCAGTTGTCTTATTTTGATGTGGGCAGATTGAGGAGTAGGCTTTGAAAAATAGGCCCCCTTTTTTTGTTTAATCTTTCCTCCTGGGATGGCTTTCAGAGCCGTATATCCAAGTGTCAGCAAGGGGGTTCTGACGAGCCTGGATTCCCAGACTCTCAGCGGGATCACCCTCTAACAGAAATATAAAAGTGAAATATTAAAAACCCTGGAACGTGAACTCCATCTACTGAGTAGCCAGAGCCTTGCCTGATTGTACCATGGGAAAAAAAAAGATCTTGAAAAAAGAGGGAGGAGAAAAGGTCTTTGACTACAACGGTTCTCAGGGTTAGTAGAGCATAGTAACTTCCCCTCAAAGGAGTGGGTGTTGCTCTGCGCCCCCTAAAACTCTCAGCCTTTGACTCAGCCGCCTCCTCCTGCAAGACACCCCCTTTTCACATGCTAACTGAGGTGTCTGTGATTGGCTGGACAATGAAGTGGTCACATTTGCTAGAGGACTGCTATCTTTCACACAATTAGCCAAGACACATTAATCAAACTGACGGGGCTGAGGTGGCTGGCCTCCTGCGGTGGGGGAGGGGAGAGATTTTGGTGACCTTTCCTAAAGCATCCTGAAGCAGTGATGGAATCCTAAAGAGGATTCTTCTACCACAGTGCCTGAAGAGGTTAAAGCTCCAACTGATGGACTATCTGGGATGTGGTGGGTTTGTGGCACAGGACATCCCAGAGGCTGAGAGCAAACCAGATGTTCATCCTGGCTAAGATCTGCTAATACAGACAGTAGTGTGAATTTGAGCCACAGACGCCTGTAGACGTTTTTTACAAAGCCTTTGTACCTCCTCCTCCCATTCACAAGAAATTGCACACAGAGTCAGTGCGAACCTCAGGCATTCTGGGGCCAACTAAACAGAGACTCTGCCCACCCACACAGTGTGGGCTTCCCCATCCAGACAGGAATCACACTATAGAAGAAATGAAACAGGCTTGGTTAAAGGCAAAGTAACAACCAGCGTGGTGTTAGTCCTAAGTATGGAGGGTATTAAAATACAGTTCATTCTTTGAGAAAAGGAAATGAAAGCATTTGTGATTCACAGTATTTTCTGATTTTTTTCCCCCAAGTCCTTTTGTCCTTATTTTCCAATGGCAACAAGATCTTAC